CCTGTTGACATGGATTCATTTTGATGATTTCGGTACTGACAGGTGGACTGGAATAGGGTCTACCGTAGAGAGTCCGGGGCCGCAGTTCGCGTACATGGCTGTCCGCTGTCCATCAATGTGGTCGGATTTGTCGCAAAAGTGGAACGAGATGCGGGTTACTGAATTCATTTGTCCAGAGTCTACTGACCTTTTTCCCTGACTCAAGGCGACGGTGTTCTGCATGGATCGCATTTGAAGTTTTTGGGATATGGATGGATATGGCAGTTTTGCAAATCCTTTCAGACACCAGGAAGGAAGGATATTCACGTCGAAAGGCACCATGACCCTGAGGCCACAGCCATGCTTTCCCAACTTCCCTCCAGTGAAACCTCAGGCAGTCGCTTGAAACAGCAACTCACTTGGGGCAAATAGAGGTTATCAACTGTTCCTATTCGTTGTACCTTCCTATACAGTGGATAATAGATACGATCCACCTGACACGCACGCACACACCCAATGTATATATATATATACGTATACACACACATATATATACATACATATATATATATATATACATACACACTATGTATATATGTATATATTTATACATTATGTATTTATATATACATAGACATACGCATGTCCACACATAGTACGTATATACATGCCTGCGTATATTGATTTTCACCACCTGCAAGATTACTTGTGATACTGGGTACAGATGTATTCGATTATAAAACACACATACAGACATCACTGGATGTTTGTACATGACATGAGTTCACAGCTGATCTCTAAAGTGTTTGATCATGTCCTACCCTGGCCCAGCGCGACTGTGCGGCGAACTTCGCATCGGAGTTCACAGCACAGCCAGCACCAGAGGCACGGCCGGGTGGGGACTAGGCCGGGCACGGCTGGATCCAACCAGATCCAACCAGGATCTGCGGTGCTTTGAGGGCGACGCCGCGTCGAATCCTGGCATCAAAGCCCTCTATGTGGAAGGGTTCTCTGAGGTGCGGAGTGTGGATTCCTGTGCAGAGAGGGATTGATGGGTCTGGCCCAAGAATGGCATGAGATTTGATAAAGCATGACCTGGGGATGACCTGGATTTTCACAGTGGCCAAAAGTTTTGGGAAGGCCCCACACCATTTTATCCCCAACTTAAAATGACAAGACATGTTGGATTTGCATGGGTATGAGCCAAAATTGCGGACCCAATGCAAACCAATTCCATGGATATCCAATGTTACACCCATACCCAAATGGAGGAAAATCGCGGACCTAATGCAATCCAATTCCATGGATACCCAATGTTACACCCATACCCAAATGGCATTGAGACGTATTGAGAACATACCGCGACTGGATAAAACCAGGATATTTGTCGCGGTTTTGTGTATCTGACAGTTTGCAATTTCTTTCGACACTAGGCCTGTAGCAGGGCGGGGGTGAGATTTCAGGGGCGCACCTCTAGCAGGTGAGCAATCCTTGATGGCTCAGGCGGGTGGGGCTGAGGCGCAAGATTTCCAGATAGGAATATAATAATATTGGAATACTAGATGTTAATATTATATATATGATATACATATTATATATATATATCATATCATATATATATAATATAATACATACATATACGTATACATATATGGTCCAGCGTTCCAACCCCCCCGGCCATGGTCATGGGTCAGCCATAGTACTGTCCCCCTCCCCCCCATGTGGTGTGGTGAGGGGTGTGCGGGGGCGGTGTAGTGTATGTATGACAATATATATGGCATGGTGGGTATGGTGAGTATGGTATGTAATTATCTCATTCACGGTATGTTTGATATGTATGGTATGTATGGTATGTTTGGCATGTATGGCCGGTATGGTATGTAGGGCAGGGGTATGTATGGCATGAATGATTGGTATTGTATGGATGGTAGGTATGGTATGTAAGTCTGTTGGGTATGGTATGTTTGATATGACAGTATGTATGGTCTGTATGGTATGTATGGTTGCTATGATAGGTATGGAATGTTTGCTATGTGAGGTAGGTATGGTATGTGTGGTATGTATGGTATGTATGGTATGTATGGTATGTATAGCATGTATGTTTGGCATTGTATGTATGATAGGTGTGGTAATTATGTTTCGTATGTATGGCACGTGTGGTATGCATGATGGTCAAAGTTCGTATGGTGTGTGTGGTATGTATACCAGAGTAAGGCATGTATGGTTGGTATGGTATGTATGGTAGGTTTGGTAGGTTTTGGTATGTATGGTGCAGTAATTATGGAAGTAAGGGCTAAGGGGGTGGGGTGTGTGTGATGGTACAGACCGTCGTTAGATCCTATACGGGCAGTTCGTAAGCACGATATAGAAGCATGTGCGTAGTAAGTCCCTAGTACGCAGGAAAGATATGTTAAACACATGTAGTGTTGTGAGAGTACAAAGGCAGTAATTAAATGGGAAGTAGATACATGTGCTATGTTACATAGCACATGTATATAATATGACTATAGGTAGGACGTAG